CCACTTTATCCACACACAAAAATTCATATGCCTCCATAATTCCAACTTTAATGTGAACGTTTCCGACTAAAGAGGTGTACCACAAAATTATACATGAATAGAGATGAAAAATTGAGAGATTATTATAGAGGTGTACCATGAAAAAAAAATGAAAAATTATAACCGAATAGAGAGAAATAATGAGAGTTAAAAGAGTAATTATTAGAGTGAACATGAATATGTTGAAACAACCTAATTAAAGAATCTTAAATGTGAATATCAAAAGTAAAAAACAAATATTGAGGTGGGAAAAACTTAAGAAAAAGAGAAAAAAGATAGTAATTTCTTGTTTTGAGAAGAGGGCACGTCATTGCACGTGGTTTTCTTCTTTAATATATATAGATTTCATCAAAGATTCATATGTCATTTTATCCACACACACAAAATTACCGATCTGAAATATCCACAAAAAAGTCTTTTACATATATCAAATATTTTAAAAAATCAAAAATCTAAGAAAAAAGAAAGATAGGTTTCTATGACACCTTATTATGTTTGGTTTCTCCTTTAAAATTAAAAATATTAGAAAATAATTTTCATGCCCAATGCTAAAGAAGGAAAAAATCGCAATAGACCGATCAACATCGATATCTTAAAAACCATATGAAAGATTATCGATATGAAAATATCATAAACTATCTTTCTTGATACACTCTTATAGCATCAATGCAAAAATATTCTAGCATAACGTTTATCAAGTTAATGGATAAACAAACAAAAAAAACACTTATTTTTATGTTCTACATATGCTTAAAAATGTTATTTTATTTCATCAATGATTCATACGTCACTTTATCCACACAAAAAAAAGATTCATATGCTTGCATAACTCCAATTTTAGTGTGAATGTCTCTAATTAAAAGACGAACTACTATACTTACATCAACAAAAACCCATATCATATTTGTCTTCTTGAATGACGTCTCAAATCAACAAAAATGCAAATCACCTCCACAAAAACTGAATAGAGGAAGAATTAAGAGATTAAGAGAGATTGTTATGCTTAAACAATATTACCTTATTTCATCAAGGATTCATATGTCACTTTATCCACATAAAAAATATTCATGTGCCTATATAATTCCAACTTTAGTATGAATGTCTCCTACTAAAAGACGAAATATTATACTTACATAAGCAAAAATCCATACCATGATTTGTCTTATTGAATGACGCTTCAAATCAACAAAAATATAAATCGCCTCCATAAAATTATAATTGAATAAAGATAAATAATTGAAAAATTAATAGATAGATTATCATAGAGGTATACCATGAAGAGAAGATGAAAAATTATAACCAAAAAGAGAGAAATAATGAGAATTAAAAGATCATTTATTAGAAAGAACATGAGTAGGTTGAAGTAATTAGTAAATATCAAAAATCAAAAATAAATACTGAGATGAGAAAAGGAGATAAAGAATAAAACACTTTCTAGTTTTGAGAAGATGTCACGTCATTGCATGTGGTTTATTCTTTATAATGTATATATATATATATATATATATATATATATATATATATTGGAATAGAAATAAACCAAAAGTTAAAAATCCTCTTGATATAAATTTTAAAAAATTAAAAGGTTAGGTAATTAATCACATTATATGGATAATGGATGTCAGCAATTTGGCCCAACATTTCAATCCAGCAAGAATAGAACGATTGTCCCATTTTTACAGCCCAAAAGAATAATCCATATGGGCCACCAATAAAAAGAGTTGGCCCATGTGGAAAATGAAATTTAGGGAGATAATTTTGATTAATTTATTTATAAAATAAATCCATATAAAATTTATTTTATGTTAATCAGTCCAACTGGTAAAATAAAAAATTAGTTAAGAAAACAAGGTGAAAATGGATTATAAGTTGTTAAAAATATATTTAAATTAAACTTAAACTAATTAATGGAAGTAAATATTATTTAATTCGACTAATTATTTGTGAGATAGAATATGATGCATTAATTAAATTTTTAATTGAAAAAGGAACAAATTTTAGGGGAAGAGCATCTATAAGATGTGATATATATGGTTAGATTTAGGAGAAAATTGTAAAAAATAAAAAAAAAAAAAATTGAGTAACATTCTGATAATATTTCATTTAAACGGTATGCATATGTGCAGTAATTTGTAAGCAATTTGTCCGGTATACACATGTGCGATACATGTCCACGTGCATAGAAATCAAAAAAATAACTTCACTTACTTGTATTCATATGTCCATATTATATAGATGAACAGTTACCAGGATGTTCCATAGTTTTTCATTTTTTTGGGATTTTTCTCTGAACTTCCCACTATATA